GAATAAAAATTTATTTGAAAAAAACAAAAATAATGACGAACACAGATGACCCCAGACCTATAACTATAAGTGGTAGTGAGATAGAACAAGTCCAGGAATATATCTACCTAGGCCAAATCCTGAAACTTGACAAAGAGAACCAAAGTGCGGAAGATACTAGAAGAGCAAGACTAGCATGGGCAAGATTTGGAAAACTTAGTTGCATACTTAAGAACCGCAAAATACCCCAATACTTGAGGAGCAAAGTGTTCAACCAATGCATCCTTCTTATTATGATATATGGATGTCAAACCTGGACCCTAACCAAGGCAATCACGAATAAACTAGCTACAACAGAAAGAACAATGGAAAGAGCAATGTTAAGTATACGACTGTCAGATAAAAAGAGGAACCACTGGGTAAGATCAAAAACAAAAGTCAAGGACATAACAACAAAAATTACCAATCTTAAATGGAGCTTCGTGGGCCACACTGCTAGACAAAAAGACCAAAGTTGGAATACTCCAATACAACATTGGAGACCTTACGAAAGTAAACGACCAAGAGGAAGACCGCAGATGAGATGGGTTGATGACATTAAAAGAATAACCGGAACAAATTGGAAATATGTACCTCAGGATGGAAGGAGTTGGGAGAGGCCTATGTCCAAACATAGACGGTAGAAGGCTAAGAAGAAGAAGAAGTTTGCATGTTACATCTGGTGTTTATTAATTTGGTAGAAATTTTCCCAATCCAAGAACAAATATTTCAACACATCTTGTGTTTCAAATTAGAACAAGGTTTCCGCACACCTTCCATTGATGTAAGTTTTGTTTTGTTTGGTAATGTACCTCTTTATCTAGCAATATGTTTAAGCTATTCCTTTTGTTACTATAGACAGGTTTTTAAGTTTTTTATGCAAATTGACATATTTTTCTAATTCCTTTTATTTTTCTTTAATATTTCATTAATATTAATTTACTTTTAAATATATTTCAATCACGATGATCCATAGAAAGTTAAATTAAAGTATTATTTTCTATTTTAGGCGAGAAAGTATATTTAAAATAAAATAACAAAAATCAAATACAGTAAACATGACATAAATTCCTATTTTTATTATTTTTCTATTTTTAAATAAAATTATGCAATTATTTACATGTGACGTACTCTAGACATACAATAAATTTGTCTGTACAATACCGTTTCTGTTAAACAATTCATTTAAAAATTATTCAAACATTACGCTAATTTTACTACCTCTTTTATCTATTACTTACGGTGTTAGTACACTATGATTTTTTGAATATATTATTGCTCAAACTCTATAACGAGGATCTTACCTAGAAAAAAACAAAACAATCAAACTTATCTATAAATATAGTATCTTAATAGATACTAACTAACACGATACTAAATGCAATCAAATATTATATAAGCGATAAACTATCCAGGTTGAGAAATCTTCTGAAGAAAATTTATTATCATTTTCGGAGACTTTAACTATGTTGGGAAAACGAATGTAATGAACACACGATACAGCAGTCTATCTGCGGCAAATCATTGATTCCGCGTAAAAATCTCAAATATTTGAAGGCTCTAATAGGTATATGAGGGGTAACTGATGAAAATTCCGTGACAAAAAAACAATCTTAAAAAGTGAAAAACTTAGTTTTTTGCAATAAAACTTTTCTTATGCAGTTTAGAGAAAAATGGTTCAATTAAAAATTGTAGATCATAAATATGTCTTTAATGCAGCGGCATATACAAGGGGGTCTAGGGGGTCATGACCCTCCCCCCAAACAAAGTTAAATATCAATTAAATATTCCTAAAAAAATTAGGTATTTTTTATCTTAAGTTTTGTCTACGAATTGGTTGTTTTTAACTTGAATATGTATTATAATTGTTGAGACTGTGTGCTACATTTTATAATTTATCTATAATAAATATCAAAGTGAATATTGTTGTTGTATTAGTTCTATCTGATACGTTAGTGAATACAAATAAAGGAACTGGGAGGAACTGAGAATATGTAAAACTCGTTGGGTTGAATCATCTAAAATTTACAACGCTATTGAAACAATTTCTACGTGGAAATTACCCGTCGGGTATTTGGGTTTTAATAACTTTTCTTTGCTTTAATATATCGCTAAAATTAATTATTGAGAAAATGGTTTCCTTACAGGAGGCACAAATCATATCAATCGTAAAGGTGCAAAACTCTAAATCCTATATTAAAATCACCCTCAAGGCCCATGACCCCGACAAAAATTTCTGGTGATCAGCCACTGAAATGTGCAAAAATATAAATCCTATATCAAAATCACCCTCAAGACCCATGATGACACCCCCCCCCCCCGAAAAAACTTCTGGATTCGCCACTGCCTTTTCTTAATAACACTACATAAAAATTCACCAAGATAGTTGCAAAAAACTCTTTTGCAGTAATTTATAAATATTAATAATTTTTTTTGGATAATAACAGGCAATCATGGACGTATAAACATAGATGGACACAGCAATAAGATACCTTTAACACACAATGTTTTGAAGCTTCGATAGAATGTGATGCTTTCGGAATGAGCATAAGCGTGCTTGAATTATTACTCGCGGGTAATTATTCAGATTTTAAAATTTGTAAGTAGTAATAATGAATAAAAACACGTTCAAATAATTTAAAAAAACTAGAGTTTAACTATTAACAAACACCGTCTTTATAGAAAAATTAAAATACAATTTTATTTGCTTTAAAATTAATACAATAAAATATAGTTGATTTCAAGTTAATTTTTAATAGGTATCAAAATAATGCTACAATAAAAAATCTTTATGTTTTCTCCTAAATTTGCTACCAAAATAGTTCGATCGTCAATATTATTTGGAAACCTACATAGAAAAATAAATGAGTTTTATTTATTTCACTAATTTATTTGCATCCATGAGAAATATTAAAAAGGTACTAAATAGATCTTTTTTTAATCAGATGATGTCTACTTATAATTTAAAAATGTCTACTAATTTCATGAACTTATATCTTATTTAATACAATAATGAACATGAATAAACCCAATGGTACGTCTATTAAAATGTAAACAAACACGCTTCCTCATTTCCTCATCTTAAATAATGTAAATTTTATGTACTTACAAATGAAATGAGAGATCGGGATGTAAATATTTCGTTTATTTTATTTCACTTTTCACAAATATCACTCAAAATACAGCCAAAATATCGAAAAACAACTTTTACTAAAAAGTAAACAAACATGGAACAGCATTTGAAGTTTGACGTTGATCCATAAGACAGACAAATGTAAACAACCATTGCCATTTATAAATAGTTTTCAGTGCTTCTACATATAAAATAATTGATTGATATCTAAATTAAACGTTATTATTAAATGATAATGCACACTATGTGCACAGTTTATATTTTGATTACAATTAAATATATTAATCTAACCAATAAATATTATTTTGGTTTGATAGCACCTGTAGAGTATAAAATACGGAGTAATATTTTCAGCGACTCGCGAATAAGAAATTTTAAAACAAACCGTGACAACAGCTGAAGGTGCTGAGAATGTGACCTATTTAAATAATTTTGACTTCACAATTTTATGTAAATAACTGAGTCCAACTGTGTTTATACGTCCATGCAGGCAATATAACTATTTAAAATTATGGCAGTTAATAAGTTAAAGTGTGCTAAATTTTAAATAAACCAAGCACTGTTTTTGTCTAGACCATCACTCTAGTAGAGGTATTCTGTAAATCAAAAAAAAAAATTAGCTTTTAAATATTTATAATAACTTTGATATGTTTTATGACACACGGTTGTAGGTAGGCCCAATGACAAGCTGGTGAAAAAGTACACTTACCACAAAAAAAACAGAACCTTCCATGACCAACAACAAACAGCTAGCTGAGATATTGCAGCGGACAAGTCTCTCCTCCACTTTTACGTGGCGATATTTTACGAGTACTATTATTTTAACGTTTTATAACGGTTTAGTTCTTTACTGTATATGCCATCTATAAGTTGCGTCATACAATATAGATCTTTTTTTACAATTTGTTTAAGCTTCAGCTCTTATTGTTAATAAACAATGGATATATGGTTTTAAGAAAAAAAATGGTATCTGGTTTCCTGTTGGTCATAGAAGGTTCTGTTTTATTTTTAAAAGTGGGTTTTTTACAAGTTTTTTCATTGAACGTACTTACAAGCGTATGACATAAAAAATGGCAAAGTTATTATAAATATTTATAAGCTAAAAAGTCAGCAACTGTTTTTTAATAACAAATTAAATGAAATCTTGAGGTTTTTAAAATATAACTTAAAAAGAAAAACTCAAAGATTCTAACACTTTATAAATCAACTCAAATTCAAACCGTTTACAATTAATTGTGCCTCATATTGAAGCGAAATTTTTTACACTGGCGTTGTATTAAGTTTTCTCTATAGTAAAATGTAGAGTGGATCCGTCACGACACGGAAACGTCACTAATACTTATTCTGGCGTTGTATTATTTTTTCAACGTTATTTGTGAAGAAATTAATTTCAAACTATTCTCAAATTTTATTTCTAAACATCTTATTTAGTTTACATAATAATAACATTTACTATCAAATGATATTTATTTATATTTATTATTAATTTATTATTTAGTCTGAGTTTTACGGATCTGTAAGATGTAAACGACCTATGATTGGCAACAAGGCATAAGAAATGTATAGCATAACTTTGTTGACACGTTAGCAGGTGGCGTTGAAAGCAAACAATAATTTATTGAATTATTTAAACATAATATAATTTGTTTACAATATAAATTATAAATAAATAATAAAACTATTTTGTTCAATTTTAAAAATACCCAGAACTATCTACAGTACTATACTACAGTACCATCTAGTGTACCACCTTTTTTATATTGATGTCTCGTATAAACTGTTGTGGGCAGTTTTATATAAATTATTAAAAAGTAACTGCTTGTTTTTGTAATACCATCTTTTGTTTTAGGTTCCAACATAATCACCGACTTCAACCTAATCTGTGATAGGAAAAGTTTACAAAACTTAGCCGAAATGATGTTCCTTGCCGGAGTTGCTATTGGAGGTCTCGTCAGTGGTATCGTCTCTGATAAATATGGAAGAAAAAGGACATTGATGATATCTGTTACTTTACAGACTATAATCGGTAATACATGAACTATAATTCTAAGCTATATTAAGTTGGTCAATTTCAATACTTCAAAATATTTATTGTTATATGTACCGGGTGGTCCAATAAGCCAATCTATCGGCTCTATATCAGAAACTATTTATGTTATAACTTTAGGAGAAAAAATACCTTAGTAAAAGTTTCCAAGAGAAATCGCTGGAAATAACTTTCAAGTTTCTGGGTTAACCGCCAGGTGGCGTAACCTGTGAAGAAAAATTTGAAAACCAGCTTGTTGTGAAATATGCCCAATTATACCTACCAAAACTAGAAAGAGGCCTATAGAAATACAGCGGGGGGTAGTGGGAAAGTATTTGTGGATAAATACCTATAACTTTGGTTTGGATCAACCGATTTTAACGAAATTAGTGTCATTAAAACGAGTGTGGATACTTTAATTTACATCTACTATAAAACAATTGCATTAAGTTTTAATTGTCATGGGTAGATGGTACTTTCGAATAGATAAAATTAAAATTTGTTTTTCTTTAAAATGTTTAATAGAAACACCTATTTATTGTAAATTATAATGGAACTGGATTAAATTCATAACAAAATGGCACAAACCGCATGTTAATAGCTTTTGTCGAACTCGAGATATGAATAAAAACGCATAAACATAAGTAAGTATAGTATTGACTCACCCTTTATTATAATAAAATTAAATATGTGACAGATCATACAAATATCTCGATCATTAAAACTTAATGTCCAATTAAATGTTCAAATTGTTTTCCATCGTTGTCCACACAAAGATGTAATCTTTCGCGCGTAGGCATATCAGCTGCTTCAATATCAGCTGTTGATTATTTATTGCGTTTATAATGTGCTGCTTCATGTCGTCTCGCGTAGTTGGTCGAGTTTGGTACACTAAGTCCTTCAATCTTCCCCACAGATAAAAGTCCAGACATGTTAAGTCTAGAGATGTAGCTGGCCATGAAAATATACTTCCCGTTCCAATCCATTTATTTGGATAACTTGCATACAAATAATCTCGAACTCGTCTGGAAAAGTGAGCAGGACACCCGTCATGTTGTAATATCATATTCCTTCTTATTTGTAAGGAAATATCTTCCAATAAAACAGGCAACTGATTTTCCAGAAAATCCAAATATATGACCTATATGACAATGACTTTCATTTAAAATTTTAAGTACCAAAACAAGACATGCCTGATACCTGTTTTAGATATCAAACTGCAACTGAAGATGAAAAGAAAGAACTGCATGAGAATTATGAACAACATATCAACAGGAAAAATGTTGCAAGACAATTTTACGATAAAGCTAAGGTGGATGCGTTGGCAAAAAAAAAATAAATTTTATTCAATATGATCTGGAGGCTGTAAGGTACTGCCCTTCCACAAATGCTAAAGTAATAATTTCCAAAAGACGATGGGCCGTGTACAATCTTACTGTTTACAATTTCAGGTCCATAAACGCTTTGGAAAAATATAAAATGATAAAATGAATTACGATTATTACTTTTATTATTATTATTAGTAAATTGTGTAACACTCAGTTGTGAAATTAGATTATAATGCTACAGCAACAAATAATTAGTTAGGGACAGAAAAATGTATCTCCGCTACTTTATCTAATTGTTGATATTTTGAGAACACAATTTATCCATTGTTGCATATAATTGTATTACCATAAAGAAAACTCTTCTAAGATTAATAATTCGGAGCAAAAAAGTTGAGAATAAACTACAGGTTATTACAAAATGCAAATCATTTTTTTAAAAACCTTAAATAAGCTCTCTTGAAAAGTAGTCATTTTTTAGATACATTTTTGTGTCACTTAGCAGACGAATTGTGCAATTCGTTTCCGAGATAATTTATGCGTTCCATAGTTAAAACTCACACTGTAGATTGAGAATGAAGTGCAATACAAAATTATTATTTTAAAAGTATAAAAACGACCTTTATTTAAAAACAAATGTAAGTGCTTTGGAACAGATTTTATAGTGATTTTAATTTGCGACATTTTTACACTCCAAAATCACTATTATTTCTCTCATTGAATAAATGAAATTTCGCAAAAACAACATGCTTACCCTCGTTCCGGGTGGCGGCACTATTTTTTTTCTTCAGTTTTAAGTACTAAAGAATAGAAAACAAATTGTCCCAATAGTGTGCCCTCAATTTTCAAAATCAATGTTTTTGGCATTAAAAAAGTGGATATTTTCTATGGAATTTAATATAAATATATCTACAAAGCACGTGGTGGTCGTATGTATTAAGGTATAAAAAAATGCTTATTAAAAGCTTAAAACTTTTATTTTAAAGAAGATCTTTTCGGAATAAACTCATTCCATCATCAGTTTAATAAAAAGTTGTCAAAAAAAAACATTGTATGGCCACATGAAAACATAGGAAGGAACTCCGTATTAAAAAACTATCCTCATGGTGTTTATGAAGGTAAATGCAATAGACTGTTAATTTGTAATTTACTAAAAACTGAAAATGGGGGCATTTTACATGACCAACTGTAGTTGGTGAGGTTTTATTGACTTACATTACCTCTGATCTGTGCTGGAGTCTAGGGCTAACTGCCAGATCCAGTTAGCCCTAGACTCCGGCACAGATCAGAGGTAATGTAAGTCAATAAAACCTCACCAACTACAGGGGGTCATTTAAGATGCCCCGATTTTCAGTTTTTAGTAATCTACAAATCAACAGTCTATTGCATTTACCTTTATAAACACCTTGAGGATAGTTTTTTAATACGGAGTTCTCTACTATTTTTTCATGTGGCCATACAATGTTTTTTTTACAACTTTTTATTAAACTGATGATGGAATGAGTTTATTCCGAAAAGATCTTCTTTAAAATAAAAGTTTTAAGTTTTTAATAAGCATTTTTTGTACCTTAATAAAGACGACCACCACGTGCTTTGTATTCAACAGGTATACTAGCCACTCCTGGATATCTCCACTTCATGGTTTGTTCCAGTTTCACTTTTAATAAATATATCTATAAAGTTAGCAGAAATCCTTTAATTATACGATTTATTTTTTTCCAGGTACCGCTATCGCTTTCACTCCTTGGTTCTTCTTATACGTCATTCTAAGGGCGTTTTTGGGATTTATCTCCGTATCTGTGGTCTTTAGTGGTTTCGTGCTATCCATTGAACTTGTTGGTGGAGAATGGAGGACGGTAACTGGCATCTCATATTTATTTCCAGTATCTATGGGCTACGTGACCGTGTCAGGCATAGGTTGGCTGCTAAGGAATTGGAGACACTTTCAGTTAGCGATATCTCTGCCGGGATTTTTCTTCATTATACTTTGGTAAAATGCATTTTTATTTTAGTATTAAGCACACTTGTTTATACCATTTATTAGATTACTTCAGAACTAGAAATGATTAGGCTTCGCAAAAAGAAATTCAATTAGTAATTAAAATTAGAAAACTTCTATATGAGACCGAAATTGTCTTTATTGTATGTGTTAAAGGATATTACTCTTTTTTTATTAAAATGCTTAAGATGTCTAGCAAGTTTTCACAAAGCACAAACAACCAGAGTGAAATATGTAGTCAATTTAAGTTGTAATCTGCTTACAGGTGGGTCCTTCCAGAATCTCCAAGGTGGCTTCTCGTTCTTGGAAAAACAAAACTAGTAAAAAATATTTTGGAAAAAGCATCCAAATTCAACCGAAGACCTCTTCCACCCAACTTGGACAAACTATTACAGCCTGAGTCGGGTTGCGATTCGATTGAAGACGTTTCTGTGTTTGACTTGTTTAGGGTGCCATCCTTAAGAAAAAAGACGTTCTGTCAGTTCATGATTTGGTTCAGCGTATATTTGGTGTATTATGGATTGGTGCTCAACCTTGGAAATATTGGAGGAAATCTGTATGTTAACTCGGTAAGCTAAATTCTAATCTCTCAAAAGTTAAAAGTACGTTAAAGAAGAAATTATTTTGTAGTGATTTATTCTTTATTTTAATCCTCCTCCTCTTCAGTTCTAATCCCTTTTGGGATGTGGTGACACCATTAGGCCTTTACAGTTTTTTTCACGATTTCACTCCATCCTTCTCTGTTTGTCCTGGGCTAGTTGTTCGGCTTCATGTAACCCTTGATTAATCAATATTTTTGTTTGATCTACCTAACGGCTTGAACATCTTCCCGTATGTCTCTTTTCTTCAAAATCACCTTCTACTCTATCCTCGACTATCAGTTTTTCCATTGTACCTGTTCTTCTAGCAATGTTTTCAAAATACTGCAAATATCTCTGTTGTATTTGTATAAGCAATCTATCTTTTACTTTAAGTTGTTCTAATATTGATACGTTAGTGCGACGATCAATCCAGGACATTCTCAACATGCGGCGGTATACCCACATTTCAAAAGCGTCCAGTTTATTTTTATACGCTTTCTTTAAGGTCCACAATTCGGATGCATCCTAAATGTAATTTTAATACTTGGAATATAATTTATGAGTATACAGCACACTAACACCGGTCAAAATCAGAGAATACCCGAATTATCTAGGTAATATAAAGTAGAGTAATGCAGGATTGCGGATCTTTTTAAATTTTGTTCAACTTGTTTCACAAAAGGCTATTAAAACAATAAATTAACAATTCTAATAATCGATAAGTGATGTATATTTTGTTCTGTAGGCTCTACAAGGCGTAGTGGAAATCCCTGCAATAGCAATAAGCATCTATTTCCTTCTCAAGAAAGGCAGAAGGTGGCCACTTTCCTTAACAATGATTACATCTGGAATAGCCTGCATACTAACCTTCCCCATATACTTCCTTGACAGTAATCTCCAGTGGGTGATAACTTCACTAACGATGATTAGCAAGTTTTGTATCAGTTCGTCGAATGCAACAATGCCGGTGTTTGCAGCAGAACTGTATCCAACTACTATCAGAAATATTGGCGTAGGGGCTGCGAATGTCTCCGCTGGGATTGCTTTAATGTTGGTACCATATTTATGGCTGCTGGTAAGTGACAATTTGTATATTTTATATTTTTACTTCTATTTGCTTTTACTTTTTATTTCTTATTGATCTTTTAAAATCCTGAGTAAAAATCGATAAAATCAAGTAGCAAGCCTTTATGGCTACATGCTAAAAAACCATGTGGTAAAAGCAACTTTACTGAACGTTAATAACCATTTTTGCATCAATATTTTTTTAATAACATAATAAAGGGTTATGGTCCTAGGGAGTTAAATGTAAAAAGTGAATATAACTAAAAACTTTAGTGGTCATATGAAGTGAAATTGTTACAATAGGTCTATTCATTGAAAAATTAATGTAAAAGACAACATTGAATTGTTCCTGTCAATGGTACTAATTTTTATAATTGAAAATGTCTTATGGAATTCTCACTTGGAGCTGCTCAGATACATGATGTATTGAAACCAATTGATATAAGAGACGGTTTTTAGTTAAAACGGAAGGAAAGGCAAGAAACTTAATTATACAAAGCGTAAACGAATCACATTTGAAACACATAAAATATTTTGTCGACGCAGTAAACATGATGAAGAAATTAGAAAAAATATCGTCCATGAAAGGTATATGCTTAAAAATTTTATTTATTAAAGGAATTGAAGTTGAAGAAAGAGTTAAACTTAAAGACAATTTGCAGGAAAACTTTACCAAATGCGATAAAATTTCTCATAATTAAATAAAAACTTGGGGTTGTAAATTGAATATGAAATTAAAATTAAATAGGTAATAATATAAGTAAAAAAATGAGTAATATGATTCTTTGACTGTAATAAGATTCTTAATATTGTTCTGAAGCTATTTTCTTGTGGCATTTTAAATTAATTGCTATTTAACTGGGAATAAGCCACAATTAAAGATAAAAATACGTTTATTGACGTTTCAATTTCCACTTCGGAAATCGTTCTCAAAATACAAACAGTAAATTTTAAATAAATTTAATTTAATTTATCCATTTTTTATGGATTAAAAACCAACTCCTACGACAGATGACTCTTCGTTTCTCCTCGAATATTTGGTCTTCTCCTCAACGCCTAACTTCACTTATACCGACTAAATCCCATATTATCTGTTTTAGTTTTTCCTCCAGTTCTATCATTAATTCTTCTATTAATAAAATTTGTACGTTTTAGGCACATACTTATATGCATTATTCGTTTATTATGGAGGCCTATCTCTTCCGGAGATTCTTAGCAGCCTCTGTTCCAACTTTGTTCTAACCGCCCCCTTGGTCAGGGAAATTGAAACCGTCAGGGACTGAGGGCCGTACACTTAATGTCTCCATCCAGAGGGAAAATTTGGTCTTTAAAGGTGTGTGTAAATGTATGAGCGCGTGTCATGCTCAATCAACAAATGTAAAGGGAATGACATAGCTGTATCCCTTATGCCATATTCTCAGTTTTTATTTGGTTGTACTTTATTCACACCTATCGTAGAGTGTGACATATCCATAAGATGTTACCTATCATCCATTGGTGTGTCTCCGCGTCGAGATGAGCACTTCCCCATTCAGTCTATTCTGCATGGAATACTGCTGAGCACAGGCTTACAGTCTCAGATCGGCATGGATACCTTAGTATTAAGATTGCATTGATGTTCGTCATTATTCTCCACTGTCTCAACAGCATTATCTTCATATAATAATATTAAAATATTTGCCGGTTTCTTATGTTGCTTTCTTTTATATAACGGCATACAAGGCAATGTTAAATAAAAACCGCCAAATATATTTTTAAATAAAAGAAAAATAAGTAAAGATAGGTAAAGAAACAATAAATAAGACTTACTCACAATCAATTTAATTTAACTATCAGACGACCGGTTTCGCTTTCTACAATATGCAAAGCATCTTCAGGTCTCGATACAAAGTTAAATAAATGCTGAAATGATAAAAACCCATATTAGGGTGTTGTCTAATAAAGGTAAACAAAGTAGATGTTGGAAATTACAATAATTATGCCAATATTACATGCCATGTGATTGTTTGTTAAATGAAAGTGACACACACAAACATATCTCTGCTTCATTGGATCAAATCTATCTCCTCAAGAACTTCCCGTTTACTGTCATACAACTACAATAGCAGAATTGAGTTCTCCATTCAACAATACATAGTAGCTTCAACCATGTTCTACCATCCATCAATTAATAGAGTACCGGCATGTAAGTAATGTTTATTTATTTGCTCATTTATTAATTTATTACAATCTAATAGACTATTTTATAACAATTTTTTGGGCCTTACCTTGTCTGTTTAAAATTTTAAAACTTTTTATACCTTTTTATACAACTTACTCTTTTTGAAATAAAACCACCGACATGTAATATTGGCATAATTATTGTAATTTCCAACATCTACTTTGTTTATCTTTATTAGACAACATCCTAATATGGGTTTTTATCATTTCAGCATTTATTTAACTTTGTATCGAGACCTGAAGATGCTTTGCATATTGTAGAAAGCGAAACCGGTCGTCTGATAGTTAAATTAAATTAATTGTGAGTAAGTCTTATTTATTATTTCTTTACCTATTTGAAATGGACTCACACAAGCAACACATACATGATATAAGTAAAGATGTTTACAATAGATGTATAGAATTGAATAAGCTATTTAGTAGAATTCCTTTACGGATATTGATCACTTAGTGTTTATCTAATTGTAGATTATTTCTAAGATATTGTAATATCTCGTAAATAAATAAATATATAGAATAAAATACTTTTTAGGTTTGAAAGTCATGTTCACATTTTATTTCTTTTTCCAGTCTGACTTCCATGCAAGTCTGCCGATGACAGTCTTAGCAGCATTCGGAATAATGGGGGGTCTTTGCGTTCTGCTTCTACCAGAAACTAAAGGCGTTCCATTACCAACTACGATCAAACAAGAAATAGAAAATCGGAAAATGTCTCTAGCCGGATCTAACAAGAAGATTAACAACAACTGTTCAGCATAGCGGCTACTGCATGGTAAATAGTGTACAAAAAGACAAGAGACTTGCCTCATGAACAAATCTAAGTATGAACCCAAGTGCTTAGACCAATCAGGCATTATGTACTTAATGTAAAAAATGTGCAATTAAAAGTAGTGGTAAAGTTCTGAACAATGTTAATAAAAATACTCTATAATTTTTTTTAAACGTTTTTGATCCCTAGAAGTAAACTTAAATATATTGTTCATTTCAAATCAAATGTGGTAAACGAATTTTAAAATATGTAAAGGCACGCGACTAATTGTCTAAACTCCTTAGTCAATTCATTGTAATATTACGATATCTAAACAATTTACATTTAAAGTAAACAAAATGGGCAGCAGTTAAGGCCAACATTGGTTGAAATGTAGAATACAGTTGATATTAGACATAAATCGATAGAAATTGTTAACTTGTTGCATCTCTCCATTTTATTTCTGTGTTTCACAGCATTTATATTGTGTATATTCAGTTCAAAATCTGAATAATGTCATAATCCAATAGGAGCAAACAAGTGTCCATATTTTTTTACGTCACTATAATACATTACATATTCTCCATATCTTATTTGCCCTTTACCTTTTTTATCTTTAATATTTAACATATATTCTATGTGATTTTTTTTGTTATTTGAAACTGCTTCAACCACAAGGGTTGTCAGCAATGGTCGATTTTACAGTTAGATTTTGTTGATTAGTCCTGAGGAAACCAAAAAAAAAGTATGATATTCTTCTGGTCACTATGTTTATTTAGAATGTCTTTTATTGTTGAAGGGAACTGTTCATGCTGTCTTTCAAATGCATATAAAGTACTGTTAGATCACTATCACACGCGTAACATAACGATTTGGGTTGCTTGTGTAGTAGGAAATCATGTGTGATCTTGGTGTGCCCTGATCGTAGTCTGGAGTTGATAACTTGATCTCTTCTTTTCATAGGTAGCCTCCATGGTAGTACAGTTTGTTTTATGGATCTAAGGTTAGAATTGGAGACATTTCATGTAAGATACTGTCCATGGTGGAGGATTATCAGAATTTGTAAGTGTGTATAAAGAAGGTACAGTGATGTCTAGGTTATTTAGAATTGTGCTGATACGACGATAGAATGGTGGATCTAATCTCCTTCTTGACTGAAACGTCGAGAGAAATCTGTCAGCAAAAGTATTTCTGAAAACAGGAATGGTTGGATTTGCCGCAACCCTTGTAGCAAATGAAAAACTTAAATATTTCTTTCAAAGCAAAAGTGAAGGCTTACCAGATTAACTGTACATGCTCTTAATAGGACTTGTGTAATGTGCTCCCAATGCTATCCTAATTCAGGAATTATGACCTGGATAGAGAATTTTTAATATTGAAGTTCTTGAGTTGTACGCAACTCCCCATAATCAAGTTTTGAATGAATTAGGGATCTGTATAAAGTCATTATTGTTTGAAAGTCCGCACCATATTGCTTGTGAGCTATATTTTTAACATATTTAGTCCATTTTGTGCAGATTGTAGAAGAAAGTGCACATGTTCTTTTCAAGTTGAACTATCTAATTTCATGCCAAGAAAATAAATAGATTTTACATATTCAATATAACTGTTATTTAACATTAAGTTTGTCTATGTCATTTTCTTTTAGCTTTTCTATAAGTTTCTTATTTATATTATTAATTGATTTGATAAAATATGTTTCTTCTTCCTTAATGTCTTTTCTTATCATTGGTCGTCATTGGGCAAACCGTCTCAATCCGAGGCAGCATACTGATCTCTGAGTACTCCTATAAGTAGGTTACTGGACTGGCTCAACGGCGGACTGATACTGGGATTGCCAACTTTGGCCTTCAGACATTTATATGTATATATCACTTGCTACACATTTGATCTTAGGACTATACCGTCCATGCCAAATCGATACAACCTCATTTTTATCAAACAGGTATTACTACAGGAAGGTGAGTTTGGCTGTAAGGTAGCAGAGGCTTTATGTGACGTATTTCTCATTAAACTCACTATTCGGTTTCACAATCATAATAACTTTGGCAAATACCAACTGCATCTGATAATATGATACTTAAAAAAAGTTTTCCTAAGCAAATCTTTGAAAATTTCTCCAATCATTTTTTCCTTATCTGTAACTTCTTCTTTTTGTTCCTTCTTGTATGTAGGCATTAAAGCCGGTTTCTTCTTCAGTATTAGCCCCCCAAATTGTTTAAATTGTTGCACGATTTTTTTTCTTGGTCTGCCAATACTTCTTCGTCCATTTGGTGACTTATCTCGTGCTATTAGTACTATTCTATCTTTTGCCATTCTACTGATGTGTTCGTTCCGCTCCTGTTTCCGTTTTGTGGCCCTTCCATTTAGAAAAACATTATCTCTTCGATCTAACGTAGTATAACAGTACATCCTAACGTTAGACAATCTTTTTCAAAATGTTCAGTAATAACAATTTTTCTTCATTAAATCTCGCATATTATAACAATTTTCACACTACTGTTTAAGGTTTAGTACATATGGTCGCCATATGTTATAAAAAAACCTTCCCTGTTGGAGACTTTGACCAGGCCAAGTATTTGATAAGTTTTTTGAGATTTATGGACCTCGATAACCAAAACCTCTATGTTTCTGTGAAAAATGCAGATTCGTAATGTATGAAAAGGGTACATACAATTTAAAAAAGAAACGGTAAAATCCATCAACAAGAACCATAGTTTATAGTGCGAATTTTAAAGTACTCCTCTCTATTCCATACTAAATGAATTAGAGCTGCACATTTTGTTTTTGAACAGAGACTACTCTTTCTTTCTGACTTCAAAGGCAATCTGTTTCAAACTTTATACATTAAAACTTCGGTCTTTGATCTTTTAAATGCCGCTAATCAAGTTTCTTAATTGTTATAAATAAACCATGTACAACTTTTTTTAATTTGACAAAAAGGCAACTTTTCGAATATGAAAAATAATTAATTCTCAGGCAACATCGATTAAAGTTATTCTAAATGTGTATAAGCAAAAAATTGCATTGTTTTTGCAATTCCTGTAAGTAAGTTCACTTTTTTCTGACTTTTTTATTGAAAAATACAGTTGGTTCAGATAAATTGAATAACTTAAACTAATTGATAAATCACTCTAAAAGTTTAACCACATTTTTAGCACTATAAGAACCAACATTGACGCAATATCAAGCAAGTAGGTTAATTTGTTACAATGGATATTAACATTGATTGTAAATTAAAAATTCTTAGGATTTTTACAGTTTTCTAAGCAATAAATTACTAAATCAACAGTCAAAAATCGCTATTTTACAGCTTTAAAAGTGTTCTATCAAATTACTTTAAATTTATTCAAAATGCTTTACCTTTTTACTGGTAGGCAAAAGTTCTTAAAATGATGCATTTTTTGGCCTTAAATTGTTACAAACATAGAAGTTTTGGTTAATGAGGTTCATAAAGCTCAAAAAAAATGTCAGATGTAATTGTAGTAACTTAAAAATTTAATAAATAAATGATCAATTAAGTTTTATTATTATTAATTTAAGAACTTAAATAAGTTTTGCAATTTTATTTGAAATGAACAGTATCTAAGAAAATATATTTCTGCTACCAATTATGAGATGTGTTATATTAACACTTTATTCGGTAATTTATGGATTAAAATATTAGTTTTAGACTTATTTTTGTATAGAATAAACGTTGTCATGATATCTACGACTCCCATTATTGTAGATAAATATAATAATACAGGAATCGCCAAACTTGGTGAATTAAGGACACGAATAATGACGTAGTTCTCATCTTTTTTGTACAGGATCGATTTTAAATCAATCTTTAAATAAAAATGTAAATACAATATATTTGGAGTAAAGAAAAAGCACGCTTCTATAATAATTACTAGCGAACACATCCTTATTTCGAATTTCGAATTATGAACGCCAGCGCAAACATAAATGCTTAGTGTGCGCTCATAACTAGGCGCCGAGCCTCGCTCGGACCATGGGATGGTATCATATTATCATCGCCAACGCGCGATATCATTCACCGTCTACACGCAGCGCTATGATCTAGGCGAGGATTTCATGCGATGGTCTCCGTTATAAACGTACCCTTAGACAAGGAAAGAGAGAGGACAGGTAACGTTAATTTAATAAACTTTCTAAAAGTGCCCCAATGAATTGTAACACCTGAGTGTCATTCTTAAGGGGTGTACAAGTCTCACAGGCTGGAATACATTAAATTGTTTGCTTGATTTCAAAAAGTGAAGCCAGTTTAGATGTGACCGCCATGTTTTGGTGCCTGTACGTTGCCCATTACTGATTACTGATACTATACTGATCTACTAAAAAATATGTAATGATAAAATCATGTTCAAAAAATGATCATGTCAGTGTTCAATTATAAAGTTTGAAAAAAATCTATTTATTGATATTTATTCTCCTTATTCTCAATCTACTAAAGAAAGAAAATATGATCTGACAACATTTCTGGTGCCAGTCAATTCTGGTGCCGGCTTTAGTCAATTTCATATGTTTAAACGTCCCCTCTCTTTCCGTGTCTAAGCATAAACCCATGGTGGTATTCATTGTACCATGGCATAAACCTGTCTCCAGCTATGACTCGCTTCATACTCCCTCTACCGATATGTTACTGTTACTATCCTCCACTGCTTTGTGAGCCTGTGATACAAAAGATAATCGCACAGTTTCCATGTATTACGCGCGCTTTTTCTTTGCTTGAATAGATTATAGTTTGTCATATGAACTTAAATTGTTGATTTTTAGTACTGTTTCTTCATTAATCATTTTTTACATAATGTTGTTGATTTATATGTATAATATGTATTGATTCTTTTCTATGTATTAAATACTTTTGAAAATTAACTAGTTATTTTTATTTAAATTTAAAGTTTGTTTTGAAACCAAAAGAAAAAATGGGATTTTATTAAATATAAATATATTAACACGTATCCACGGGTATAAGCTTATTTTGACGTGAGTTTAAAGTTTTTAGGCGAGTTTGGTAAAATTTCAAAATTTGCGATTAGACACTTGTTATCCAACGAAGCTAAACAGGAGAATAGGGCTTTACGGAAAACTGAGAGAAGTCTTTAGATCAGATATTCCCATGTGCTTGAAAAGGACATGGGTCTTTGATCAATGTGTACTCCCAGTTCTAAAGTATGGAGCAGAAACATTGACCCTTACCAGAAAAGTAATCAATAAAATACAAGTGGCACAGAGAGCGATGGAGAGGTTCAATGCTGAATATATCCCTCAGAGACAAAGTATCAAGTACAATAATTAGGAGAAATCCTGGTGTTACTGACAGTTCAAAGAATTACAACATTGAAATGGAACTGGGCGGGGCATGTTGCCAGATTAAAAGATGGAAGGTGAACGAAGAAAATTCTGGAATGAAGACCTAGACACGATGCTTATCGTAATCGAGGACGTCCTCCAACAAGGTGGTCAGATGACATCAAGCGTATTCAGCACAACTGGAATCAGGGTGCTCAAGATAGAATGCATTGGAATTATTTACGGGAGACCTATGTCCAGCAGTGGACTCAAAACGGCTGATGATGATGATGATGATGATGATGATGATGATGATGATGATGATGATGATGATGATGATGATGATGATGATGACTTGTTATCTACGAATTAATTTTAGCAAAACAATCTATGTTTGAGCAAAATCAATAAGCTTCACTTATTATTTAATAAATTTATTATTATTATTTAAGTACTTATAATTATTATCACTTTTACTTTTCCTATTACCATACGAATATATTCTATTTTTATGCAAAATTTTTCCTTTATTTTCCCGCTCAAATTATGATCTTGATTTGCAATTAAACTTAGATTAATGACGTTACTTTTACTCTAGAAATCTTAATTTGACGTTTACGATTCATAAGTTCTTCTTCTTCTTTTGGCATCATAACCCTGGATGGGTCTGGCTATGTCCTTCCATTCAGATCTCTCTTGTGCCCTTCTTCTCCATTGTCTTATGTTCATTGTTTTCAGGTCGTCTTCCACGTCATCCAACCATCTCGTTCTGGGCCTTCTTTTTTTTCGCCTTCCTATGGGCTTCCATTGTAAAATTTTCTTTGTTGTTTTTGCATCGTTTTGTCTCTGCACATGTCCCAGCCATGACAGTCTTTGACTTTTCACAAATCTTACAATGTCATAACCTTCATTTAACTCATTAACCTCGTCGTTTCTCCATGTGTTATCTTCTTCTTGTACCGGGCCATATACTTTCCTCAGTATTTTTCTCTCGGAATGTCCTCTAGAATGTTCTGAGTTGGGCTTCATCTTTTTTCGTCATTACCCAAGTTTCACATCCATAGGTTACTACGGGTCTAATCAGTGTTCTGTAGATAGTCATTTTGGTTCTTTTGTCTAATAATTTTAATGTCATCAATCTTTTATTAGCATAGTATGTACGATTCCCGCTGGAAATACGTGCATTAATTTCGCTACTTATGGAGTTCTTCTGGTTAATTTCTGTGCCGAGATATGTAAAGGCATCCACTCGTTCGATAGTATAGTTGTCTATTGTGATATTATTTTTATTGTCAGTTATTCTTTTGACTGTCATATACTTCGTTTTTGCTTCGTTTATTTTGAGACCTCTTTTTCTTGCTTTACGATCAATTTGATTGAACACTTCCATTAGTCGTGGCCTATTCCTACTAATGATGGCTACATTGTCTATATGCAGTAATTTGTACTGAATTGGTATTTATATGGCCGGTTATATTGGTTTTTCTGATGACTGCCTCAAGAACTAGGTTGAATAGTATGGTTGATAGGGCATCTCCCTGTCTTACTCCCATGTTGATGTTAAACAGGGGAGTCAAGTTTGCAACTTTGCAACAAAAAGTTATCAAAAACAACTAAAGATTTGTATGGTATATCTTCGCACAATTCAGTTACAATCTTGTATCCCAAGACATCATTTTCAATGCCTTCAGTTTTTCCAGTGTGGATAATAAACTTATACAAATACCCAATAATAACATCACACTATGCCCAAATGTTATAACCACGCTTAATTGTCTTCTTGGGCATATAATGTTTGATAGAACTACATCCCTTAAATTTCACCATACATTCGTCAATAGAAAATCGACTTCCAGGATTGGCTTTCTCTGCAACTAATAAATTGTTATTTAGATGGATATTTTCTCTAATTGTTTTATCCTGGTTATTGTAAAAGCTTTCTAGATAACATAATTATTATAAAAATGATCACTTGGCCAAATGACTGCAGTCCTATTAAAATAAAAACACCTAGCAATGCCCTTATTCCTTCTTGACTAGTGTTTTTGTAATTTCTGCTATCTTTTTTATAGCATATTAATTCGTTTGAGCAACAATTTGTTCTATTAGATCACAAGAGAAGAAATCCTCAAAATAAAATATTGGTTGGCTTTTGTTTGTCAATTAAACATTTGACTATAAAACAAACTCAAATTTTGGTATTTCTTGACTATCTGTTTCAGAGGTCCATTGTCCAGTAAAATTAGTTAGCGTAACCACTGAACTATGTCCTACCAAGACACTTTGATTTCTTTATGGGTTATTTTCAGATGTTCTTTCAGTTATGGAATTTACATCAACGGATGTAGAAGGAACAGCTTTATCAGCTTCACCAAGCAATTGTCCAATTCTGCTATCAAATACATCTCCATCAGACTTACCGCAAACAGAAGTAAATGGGGATGGTATAAAATTGTCATCATCATAATAGTCAAGATCAACATCAGTCCAATCTTTTTCTAAGGCAGCGAGGAGTTTGCGTTCTAATAACCCCCTTCTTGAATTTATTTTTTTGGGCTATTGTGAAGAATATATATAAAAATGTGAAGAACAATTAGACAACACTCAGTTTGGATTTAGAGGTGGAATGGTAACATGATGGGTAACTGGAATTATGATCTATTTCCATCAACATGATGTCTCACTTTTCAGTTTGCTTACTAATGCTTAAATCTGTTGATAAAATATCTTTTTTATGTCTCATCCTCATGAGTGTTGGTCGGTACATGTGATTACAACTGTTATACTCCTAAATCTCGTTCTTAGTTTACATCATAGTCTGCCCAACATTTTCCACTTTATTAGAGCTTTTTGTATTTCTCTTTACGTAAAGATCACCCTTCTTTATTTATTTGCTTCTTTATCCAAATTTCCAGAGCACAGCATTTTGTTATCATTATTAACATCAGTTTCACCTGCTCGGTTCCATCTGGCTTCACTGAGTCCTAGGACTGATGTTGTAGTGATATATTTCCATTTTAATCTGATGTGTTTCTCTCGTATCAGATTTCCATTGTTCACACGTGCCAGCATCTTATTTCGATTTTCTTTCCATTATTTTGAAACCAATAACAAACATTCCAAATAAAAATAGTTTTTCTGATGTTAAAATACAGTAGGAATATTTTTATACCCAAAAAATTTAATAAACTGTATATTTATATTTGGATAATACTTTACGACTACAAAAAAATAAATATTATGATATTTTGTTTATTAAACAATGTAATTGCTTGATATTTCTAGTAACATGTAATTCATCTAAAATATCATTAAACTTATAACAAATTATACATTTTTAATTGTGACACTAATTTTTTTATTAATTATTATCAATGCCGACATCTTGACTAATACTACATTTATCCTGTCAATTCAAAAATAATTAATTACTCAAAGTGACATTAAAATTTTTGTTTATATTGATAGCTATGATTATTAATGACAATGTTTAACATTATCTCTCACTGGGTCGATAGGTCATCAATATTGAAAGTCGTAATCAACAATTAATTGATTTTAAGACGCGGGTATATCAACTACACGTTCTACATACCGTTATCAAAGCAATAAATTACAGTTTTGATATTTGCATACATAAAAACTAAACAACTTGTTTACGAAAACATTGCGGCCTCCCAGATGCAAAAAGTTATTAGAGTTTTGTTCAGTGCTGTTTTTTAGCCTTCTGCAAGGTCTTATTGGCAATTCGGCCTTGGTTCTATTTTGTATCTTTCATATTACGTATAATATTTACTCCAGCGTGGATGTTTCATATATATAAACCAGAGAAATGAGCAAAGAAAAAGCCTTTTTCGTGACACTCCTTGATACAGGTATCTAATAACTGCTTTTGATAAATTTGCTAATAACAAATATGTAATAAACATAATATTCAAAAGATTACACACTATGTACGACATAGGGAAAAAATCTCAGACAAGCCATAGCTAACACAAACAGCTCTTATTTAACTTAAAGGCAACCCACCTACTGGCCATCAGATCCAAACAAAATCCCAGATCCACTCGACTTCTTTATCCTCCATAGCATGGCCTTAAATTATTTTGACATACAAGCAACCTGGGATCTGTCCACCGACCAAACTCCCATAATTGTCAGACTATCTAAGCAAATTATAAAACGTCCGAATATCCCTAAATTGACAACATCAAAGATCAACTGGAATGTATTTGAGTCTTACATAAATGAAAATTTAAATTTAAATATAAGATTAAAGCAACCAGACGATATCGATAATGCTATACTTCTTATCACCCAAACTATACATGTAGCCGCTGTAATAGCTACACCCCGTCAGAATGACAAAGAACCAAGTAACACCAACATATCCGTATATATAAAACGTCTTGTTACACAAAAAAGAAGAGCCAGGCGCATATGGCAAAGAAGTTGCAATCCCATAGATAAAAATGAATACGGCAACTTAAAACTGCTCTACAAGACGTGAGGAATGATACATTTAAACTATTCTTTACCAGCCTGTCAAAAGAAGACCACAGCATCTGAAAAGCAACGAAATC